GGGGGGGGGGGGGGGGGGGGGCACAGCAACAATCTATCATCTACGGCACAGAAAATACATCCTGCCACAAACTTCTTAAGAAGAGGCTAACGGCTAACTGTATCAGTAACAATCACCATATTTCAACTACAAAAAATAAAGATGCCCAAGTGAAACACTTACCCAGGATCAAAAAGCCGTTTCAAAATAGCCAAAACATTTCGGTTTCCATGGAAACCGAAAAGTATCAGTGATTAAATATAGAATTTCCTATGTTTAGAGGTGTTCGGATTGTTTTGAAATGTTTTGGTATGTTTATAAAACAATTTTTTTTCTCCATTTCTATTATATTCCGAAATGTTTCGGAAACAAAGCACTGAGACGAAGTTTTGATACTTGGCCTCAACAAGCCCAACAATTCGGCCCAACCCTCATTCCTCTCTATGATGCTTTATTACATTATAACTGAAAAATTGCAGAATAGAATTGCTGTACCATCACAAGTTTTTACGCCATCACCACGGAATCCTGGAGGACACTTGCAATCTTTCGTGTGGTCATCCTGGAATAAACATTCAGAAAACCACTTATTATTTAGTGATGAATGGAAAATAGTTAACAAGAAGCAGGAATATAATAACATAAATCATCGTTCAGAGAAAAAGAAAAGAGTGCACAAAAGTTCCCTTACTATGCAAGCAGAGTAGGTCCTCCCATCCTTGGATCCTTTCCAGCAGCCTCCATTATTTATTTCACACCGTAATGCTCCAGTAGCTGTCAAACCAAAATGTAGAAATATGATGCAAATATAAACTTCACCCATGCATAATTCACTAGTACAATGGCCAGAACCACAAAACATGCATCATGATCTGCAATAAATTAGAGACATACATAATGTGGTTAGAAATTTCAAATGTGATCATCCAAATATATAATGTTACCTGCACAGTGAGTATAACCATCACCAACAAACTGTACTCCCTGCACGACTGGGCATTCACACAGTCTCCCACGGAATGTATCCTATAAGACAATGTATGTCAGACAACAATTAGTGCCATGAAATGAGACTAAACTCCAACAGTCAGAAATAAAGCATTCCGTGCAATTACCCTGCATGCAGTAATATTGGCAGCCTTATCCTGCCAGCATCCCCCATTGTTCTCTAAGCACTCATTTGTTTCTATGCCTGTGATTGAAGAAAAGGAAAGAAAAAAAAACTTGTAATCACCATCAGAATGATAGAGAAGTTTCATGGATCACATAAGATTGGTCTGATCATCCATGAAGAATCCAATCCAATATGACAACATATGGTCCTTGGCCCATGGTGAAGCCATGAAGTTCCTTGAGTGGGGTCAGTGATAAAAAAAAAAAACACAATTCCTTAGTAGTTATACGCTCAATAATTGACCAGCAATTGAAGGTCAAGAGAAAAAAGGTGGGGCGGGGTGAAGGATTTTTCCTTTCCCTTTTTTTTTTTTTTTTTGGGTTCAGGATAAACAGGAACAGAACTAGGATTTGTCAACAAAGATTAAGGATGACCTTCAGTTAAACAAAGGGCTGGCTCTGTAGTCTCCTCGAATCCTGAGCAGATGGCCTTGAGAACTGCTCCTTTGCCCAGTTTGCCTTCAAAAAGCCAAAAATAGTTCAAGAATAGATTCAATGAAAGTTTTCTTTACTCTTTGGAGTTCCTGTCCTGGGGATGGGTGGTGGGGTGCAGGAGGAGGGCTTTCATATTCAGTACCTCTATACTGTCTGTTGTTTACGACAAGAGTTGGCAAGATGGTCACATCTCCACGGGAGCCTTTGCCGATCTACAACCAGAGTTGCAAGGAAATCCAAAATCACAATCAGCAAATCACAGAGATTCCTGAGACATCAAAGCTACAAGAACAGTAATAATTGTCTGTTCCAAGGGTTCAAACCTGTGCTTCCTGTTCAGCCTTAAGAACAGGATTGTCTACATCTGCCTGGGGATCTCCGATACATTTGTCGATCTGCTTGAGATCAATACCTAGAGGGTAAATAACAACATACAAGGATAAGAAATAAGCGGACGTGTACAATAAAATTGAGACATTCGGGAATGAGTTTGCACTTAATTGTAATACTGTAGTAAACAAGGAACCTGAAAGCAACAGGGCAACTATTGTTCTCTGGATCCCATTTAAAAAATCAGTAAAATTAAATGCTACATAAAAGGCTTAATTCCAAGTCCAAATCCCTACAAACCTAAATGACAACTATGTGACAATTTAAAGGCATTTTGACCAATAGATGATAAGTGATATGCATGAAACATCAAAATTTACATTAGCAAATACTGAAAGAAAAAACAAAAAGTTACTATTGTGACCAGGACCAAGTGACAGATAACAGCAAGTGGTTCATTAATTTCTTGGCTCTTCCAATTTCATCATATAACGAGTGGCAAAATTCAACAAACAGCCTAATGTAAGCAGTGCATGAGGATAAACATGAATGATGCTCATTACTATTACTGTATTACAACATATAAAACCACCCTTGGAACCATTTAAGAATCACAGATTTGGTAACACTGTTGACAATTACTATACCACATTTTTTGAGCTAAGTGACCCAATGGAAAGTCCTGTGAAAGCACACTCGTATGCAAACCATATATTCATATATAAAGAAGTGACAAAACCAACCCCTAACACAATCTCATACCAAGCGATTCGATAACTTGATCTGCACATTCTTTGGTGTACTTCTTCTCTTTCATAGGGCAACGGATTGCAAAGTCTGTCACATAGTCCCACCAGAGCCATGGCTTTCCACTTTCGTTGGCCACCTTAAAGAAGCAAGCCTGGCGTAGATTTTGCACAACGACGTCCTTCCCATCGTATCCTTTAGTGAAGTCCTGCTCAGGATCCGGAGCGCAGTACCTCCCATGGTTAATGCACTGAGACTTGCACTGGTTGCTCAAAATAAAAGCCTCTGGGCAGTACCAGGTTATATAATGTGGGGTGAACTGAGTGTACCCTTTCTGCTCAAGTATCTGGGCTGCTCCTTTAAAATTCTTTACAAACTCTATCTGGCTGTCGCACTTGGGCCCACATTCATCATTACTATTTGTCCAGAACTCGAACTCAACCCGCTCATCAGGATGCGGAAGAGACTCCCTCCAGTCAAGATTTATGTTTACCAAATCACCTTTAGACAGAGCTCTCTTGATATTATCCCCGAGAGCTTTGCTAATGAGTGCTGAGGGGATGGTTATGTTTTGCAGATAATCTGCCTTTTCATCCTCCTCCTCTGGGGTGTCCATGGTTATCAAAGCCTCAACTCTGTCATCAGCAACCAGAATAGCTGCTGCTCCAGCATTCTGTGCATTCCATGCCTTCAAGGTGAAGTAACAATCTGCAAGATGGGCAAATTAATATTAGGGGGTCCCTTGATGAAAAAATTATCCCAAATATACATGCATTTGTCTGTGCAAGCTCTACTTCACAATCTGAAAACTTGCCAAAGATACGCACGCACAAAAGGAGAGAGGAAGGAAAATATTGGACAACATCAAATTTTAGGGATGCCCACTATGTGAATAACCTTCTCTGCAAAAAACCAGTGCCAAAGTGAATGGTAGCTGTACTGTACGAGACAAGGCAAAATATAATAGTCCAAAGCATATAATCACAAGAGGATAGAGAGGAACAAGAGGTCTTTCACAAGGAAGCTGAAGACCAGTACCTTGGCATATATGAGAATAAAAACGCTAGACATCCGGTATTGATTTCATTTTAAGAACTAACTACAAGGCGAAAGCTCAAGGGAGATTACTTGCTAGGACCCAAATATCACTTAAATGAATGCATAAGAAAGATAAAATAAAATGGTACCATGTTCACAAACTTGCGAAGATTTCTCAATGGAACTGCGAAGGTACCACATATTAATTAGAATTAACAGACGCCACAACTTAATTAGAAGATTAGGCAAATTGTACATCTTAATTAGAATGAGCTATAATCAAATCTATTAACTAATCAAACCCGCCAGATAAACAAGAGAAACCATTAAAATTAACCGGCAGTCACATGAGGTCACCATAAACCCAGCTCATTCTTCTTCTTTTTTTTTTTTTTTCAAATTACGAAAACTAACTACCAAATTGAGAACCAAAAGTCAACAAAATCAAATACAGAAACAAAGTTGAGAATTTTACCCCCACGATCCATAAGAAGGAAGATGGGCATGCCACCAGGCTTGGATTTGAAGGAGATATCGGCATCATCAAAGCTCTTACATGCCTTTTGATTGGATTTTGGATAAACCAGAGTGCCAACCATCGTCCCACCATACTGAGGAACCCCAAAATTCCCAATTGCACATTCGTAAACATCTTTCAACGAGTCCGGTGAAGTCACCTTCAAGCTATTCTTCTCCACCACGAACCTTCCCAAACAAGATCCATATAGAAGAAACCAAACACAAACTAAAAACCCAAGCTTTTCCCTCATCTTCTCTCTCACCTTCCTTGAATACCACAGACCAGGAAACCAAGTATACTGCCCTTCACAAAAAACCCGCTAATCTACAACCCAGAACTCACAAACTTAAACAACAAAAAACAAATCTTTGACAAAATTGATAAGTAGCAGATCCTAGATATTGACGATCAAACTTAAACAACACTTTTTCAAGGTAATTATAGATGGGTTTTCAGCTGAGATTACGAAGTTAAAGAAGAAGAGTCCGCCAAAGGGAGAGGTTAAAAGGGGTTGAATCGTACAAGGCGTGTCAATTACGTTGATCAAACAACATTTTCTATTTCTCTATATAGAAAATCAGTCATTTGATTTTGGAGTGGAGAGATTAAATTAGATCCAAATAGAAGTAATTTAAGACCCGTCTTCTGGACGTATTAGGAGATCGCCATCGTCTTTATTCAACAAAGTTATACTATACTTGGTTGCTTCGAGATACTTTGTTGTTGATGGAGTTGCAGTAATCAAGGGCTTCGATTTTTCTTGATGGCACTTGGGCCCACTCTTTTTAAGGCTAGGATTAGGTGATACTATCCGTGTCAAGTGTTTGCTTTTAGGTTAAGGAAGTAGTGGGGAATGTGATTCTGATCTGATCAAAAAAAAAAGTAGTGGGGTCCAGTTGGCTTTTCTGGATTATACTATATATATTCATTGCATGGGTTCCATGTGTCCTATCCTACGGTTTTTTTTTTTTGGAAGATAATCCTATTTTTAAATTTATATAACATTACTCAATATCAATATGGTAAGAACGAAATCTTGTTAGTTGCATTTAATATGGATAACAATAATGATTATCACTTGCTGAAAAGACTAAAAATAAATAATGATAAAGGACAAAAAATTTATTTTTTGTGAATATTTTAATTTTTACGTAAATAATTTATCTTTGATTATAATAAAGAGAAAATTAGTCAAAATATACATATGCTGATTAAACACATTTGATCGTTGAAACAATAAAAAAAAGAGTTAATCACAAATTGCTCCCTAAAAAGATTGTTTGAATATTAATTTGTATCCTCAAAGATTAAAAAAAAAAAATCAATTTATACACTCAAAGATATAAATCTACATCAACAAACACCTGGAGTTAACAACGGTCAGTTTGCCGTCTAAAACTAAATAGATAAATTACACCTGGATCTCCTCATACTTGTCACTTAATCATCTAAACTTCTCACATTTGAAATGTTACACTTACATCTCCTAAAATTCAAATATGACTAAAAATGTTACTCTAATTGGGTATCCAAATAATTCTGTTCAAAATGATGTATTACATTGAATATAAAGAACATTATATAAATACCTAAATTATATTGGGTATTCAAATAATAAGCTTGATTTTGCACTTTAGAGTATAACAAATCCACAAAATAAAATGTAATATAAAAATTATAATTTTTTATTAAGATAAAATCATATTTTTTAACAGTTATATTAATAAATATCAACGACAAGAGATTATGTGATACACATACACAAATGTTAGGAGATATATGAGTAACATTCTAAACATGAGCGAGTCTAAATGAATAAGTTATAAACTTGACAGAGTCTAGATGCAACTTATCCAACTATTTTTAGTTGTAACTTTAAGTGTACATTAATACAAATTTATATTTTTGAGAGTGTAAATTAAAATTTTTTTATCTTTGACGATATAAGTTGCAATTTGAATACAATTTACATTTAAACTTTAAAAAAAAAAACACTTCTAGTGATGGCATTAGTGTTTTGTTGCATTTAATGAATTTCAAGGCGTGAAGCACGTGGAACTGGAAGCCCATTGTCAATGCATTGGGCTCACGCTTAATTTCTCGCCAACTCAGCGCAAAGGAACAGTTCTGTTTTGGGCTCACGAGCTTTGCTCAATTTTGAACGCAGTTTATTCTGAGGCCCATTATGACTGGATTGGGCTTACGCTTATAGAATGAACCAAACACGTAGGATGGATTCAACCATTTCACCTTCTTGAACTCTCAAGGAAAAAGGTAGCAAAAGAAAGCAAAGCTTAATGCACCAGATAACCTACGAGCCCCAACATAAGTGAAGTTCCACTCCATCCTTTGCCTTAGTAAACAGTGAGACAAGTATACCCAGTTGTACCTGAGTTTACTAAACAATTTGTCATGGTGATTTTAGTATATCCCTTTCACACATCCTTTTATGTACATCACTCAATCTATAAGAGCAAATTCCTACTCAAGCAGAGCTTTGAATCGAACTTTAATTTTTTAAAGGAGGAGAATAATTCATTTATTCTCTCTTATCCTCCTCAAAATCTTCCATTATCCCAGTTACATGGTCTGTTGAAGAAGACCCCTTCTTTTCCTTCCTTTCAAGCTTGGTTGCCATATCCCCAGCCACATTGACACCGCTTGTAAGGGAGATAGCCTCTTCATCAAAGTCGTCTCCTGTCTCCCCTGAATATGCATATCTAAAAGACACACACCAGACTGTATATTAGGAGTCCACTCATGAATTACAGCAGCATAAAAATAACAGATTTTGCCATGATCATCTTAAGAAAAGTACAAGTAACAATATTACAAATATCATCATCATTCCTACCACAAATATGCATCTAATCACTTCTATTATTTCTATGGTGTATGATTTCATGCCGTTGGTGCAGGATAAACTTAGATTGAAGACAGTCTGAGAAACTCCCACAATCTTTTCACCTAGGGAACAGGATTTCAGAAATGGTTGCTTAAAAGAAATTATTTAATTTCCCTGAAATTAAAGAAAATACCAGTCAAATTTTGAAATGTAACAGAAGCTAGTGAAAGCAGAAGATACTGAGATCCATTTAATATTTCTGGTTGTAGTTCTGTGCCTATCGCATGGCATGGATTTTGTGCTTCAAAAGTCATGCCTATATATTTAACCGTTCATGTCCAAGGAAGTTCTAAATTCCCTAAATTTTGACTTCCAAAGTCGCAATATGTCAACAAGTTATGGTTTATCAAAGGGATTCAATCCACATCTGTTGGAAGTTCAAAATTTCCTTAATGAGTTTGGAGATATAAATATAGTCTTCAATGTCACAGCACTCTTGACAGTTCACCGATTTAATCTTCGGGTACATTCACGAATTTGGCTAAATTCAGATCTATGGTAGCCAACCTCATCTACTGCACTATTTATTCAAGGAAAAAAGGGAATAATTTACTAGTAGATTACAGCCCAATAATTTAATGAAGGAAATAGCAGACAGAAAAGATGAAAGGTAAATGACACAAGAAGTACCTCGTTGGGTTACGTGAAGGAGCCCAGAGGATACATATCACCACCAGGAGAGAGAAAGCAAGTAGAGTCCAGACAGCTGGAATAATCCAGGCAATTCGCCACAACTCACTTAAAGGGTCACTAGCATTGAAGTATAGCTGAAACAACATGAGTCAGAGGAGTTTCAATAATCAAGGTTATTTGAGATAAATATACTCTTCACAAGTTTCCTTATGGATAAAATACATAAATCAAAAGACCCCCCAGTCTTTAGCTCTTGTCAAGGTCATAAATTCGGTAAAACAACATAAATTCTTCTGTGAACAAAACAAGAAAAGCAAAATACCTCGTACCCGACCCAAGCAATTGAGACCAGCACAAAAAGCGCGAGAGAGTTTGTGAATCTTCGATATAGCTCAAGTTTAGCCATGCTTCTCCGCATCTGCACCAACTATAAACCAAAAAGGAAAGTGAGAAGAAGAGTTTAACTCAACAAATGTATCATAAATACACGACCTAAGATGAAAAACTCATGGTTCATCTTGGTCTCGAGGAACAAAAACACTCACAAATGTACCAAATAAAATTTTAGTAGAAAACTACCGCATAAATAAAAATTATATGAGGCAAATATTGTCTCCACCTTATAATACATCCACACCTATGCTGAGTCATTGTTCAAAGTTGCGGTATCGGTATCGGCCATCAACTCGGTTGACATTGATACACATCCATCGTGGTGTCGTGGTGCGGTAGTGGATGATACTCACAAAAAGCTAGATAAAAGGCTAAAAAAATAGTGAAAAAATAATGCGATTTTTTAAATAATGTAACGAATAATATTCACCCATCATATGACTAAAATGAATCATCCAATATAGTAACCAATAACCATAACGAGATAGAAATCTAAGGGTGATGATTACTCATAAGAAATAGTTTTTTGAACATAGATAATAAATTTCGTTGATTTATGTACGCATATATTGCAATCTATATATCAATTGTTAATTGTTAAATATTAATTAAGTAGAATTTGTTACAGATAGTTTCATGTCATTTCTATTTTTTGCATTTGTTTAATACTAATGAGCCAGTAATGTCTCAAATGAGTATTCAAATATAACTAAAACACTTAACCCATTTAGTAAAGCACTAAGCCAATTTTCACTTTAGGGTTAACTAGTTAGACTTACCATCTTGTCATTTAGAGTCTTGGCGTGAAACGCGAGAGAGAGAGAGAGAGAGAGAGAGAGAGCTGCTACAATAACGCCGACTGAAGATGGAGAAGAAGCTGCTACAATAACACCGATTGAAGATGGAGAAGAAGCTTTCGATCAAATCCTAGGCTCACCGCTGCTATGAGCCTGAGTCTAGGATCCAACCTATTAGAAGAAGAAGAAGACAATTATATAAGTTTTTTTGTAAATCCTTTTATTTTGTTTCTCCCTTGCATACAATTGCAAAAGGATGTGATTTAGGATTGGAATCCTTGCATGGAGGTTTCTAGGCCATCGATTAGGGATTTTGGTCTTTGATTTTGTTCTATTTCTTATTAATCCCTTTTTATTTGGCTTATTTAGCCATTTATCAATCCAAATTCATGAATCTATAACTAGGTCTTGTCCTATTTCTTTTCCCTTTTTGTTTTTTGTCTTTTTCTGGTCGAACTCGGAGTTAGGGATGATAGTGGACCGGGACGGGGACGGAGGATGTAATCTCCATCCCCGTACCTGCTTAAAAAAAATTCTTTCTACACTCGGTCCATCCTCGTTAGCAGGGAAAGTTTTAATTCCTGTCGCCGCCCTGTGGCAAAATATTTATCCCCACCCCCGCTGCTGTCACCTCACCTTGCCTTTGCCCCAATTGGACTCTCAATCTTCAAAGCTAATGGCAACCAATGACAACACTGATATTAGAAGATAACTCAAAAATTCAAGCAACAAATCAAATCTGAAGCAATAATTAGGCAACAAACCGGATCAAAAGCAATAATCAAGATAATATCATAGTCATGTAATAACCATATCCGAAGCAAGAAAGAAGAGCAAATCTATAATATATACAAAGGTAAAATGGAAAAATATAATAACATGTCAAGAAAGCCGAAGAAGACGAACTTAAGTCGTCGACATATAAGCCTTGCAGTCATCAAAGGTGAGTGACTAGAAATAGCTAGGCCTAGGTGTGATCAATAGGGGTTATTGAGCGAGAAAGATAGAGAGAATTGTGTGAGACAATCAAATGGGGAGAGATTAAAGAGAGTGGGGAGAGAGAAAAACAGACAGAGATGGTGGTGGGTTAGGTGGGGAGGAGAAAAAAAACGAAAGGAAAAGAAAAAAGAAAGAAAAAGAGGTGGGATCCATGTGTTTGAATTTTGAATCATAAGTTGGTAGTGGGATTGGGGTTTGTGATGTATTTTGAATTATATTATATATAGCGAAGCAGGGCAAGGGGGGGCGGGGCGGGGCCGGG